ATTTTGAACTATTTTTATAAAATATTAGCTTCAGTGTAAAAACAAACACACTGCATTAATCGAAAAACCTAATTCACGTGTACAAGTTCTACAAACATATTTATTATAAAGAAAAAGCAAAAGAAAACGCGTTCATTTTTTTAATTTTTTTGGATGAGGAGAAAAAAGTGGAGGGAAAATGGTCCCCTGAACGACCAAAATGACTTCCCACAAAAAATAAAGAGAAATACAAGAAAAACAATAAGACCAATTTCCACGTGGATAACCATGTCTGTACACGTGTACGGTCCTTTCGATGATAGCAAGGGCCCACAAAAACCCAAAACCCACGGCCCTCGCTTTTCAAAGTTGGTAACATCTCTCTCTCTGTCTCTCTCTCTCCTCTTTAGCTTCGGTTTACAGCAGAAGCAGAGAGGAGAGAGAGTGAAGTCATCTCTCTTTCTCTCTCTACTACAAGCATGCAAACCCTGAACCATGTCTTAGTTTCCACTTTTATCCCTCCCAACCACCTTTATTCACGCCCACTAATCACCTCTCTCACCAGTACTGCTCCACTAGCTCTGAACTCCCACGTCCATGGCGGACCCAGCCGACGTCTCGGCGGTGCTCGAGTTCCTGAGGAAAAACGGGTTTCCGGAGGCCGAATCGGCTCTCAAAGAGGATATGATTGAAAAGGGCGATCTGGGTTCTTTCGATTACGAGAAATTCATGTTTCCGATGGTTCCTCGACTGCCGCCGGTCAGAATTCCAGCGAGCTTCCGGCGGCCGGAGGTTCAGGGCGGCGGAGAATGCTCGGAGTCGAGCTCGGCGGTGGACGACGAGTTTGTGAGCGCGGGATCTTCTACTTCTAACAAGTGCTCTTCAGGTAGTTAAGAACTTAAAGTTATTGACTTTGATCAGAATTAAGCTTGCGGTTAATTTCTAATTAAGTATATTACGATTATTTTTAAAAAGTTTGTTTAAATTAGAAGATCATGATTTGTGTAATATGTCATCAGCAATAAAAATTAAAACTTGGGCATTACTGTATAGAACTTTTCCTCTGTCATTTCCTCTGTTATATCATTTCTTCGGCTATATATTATTCGAGCGATATTCTAATCTAATCTAAACTTGTAGCTTATGGGAGCGGAATTCGAACTTAGGTCTGCTTTTTTAATCTGCTATTAGAATTAATCTTTGGAATATGTACTTAAATTGTAATTTAGTTACTAATCTTTTACTGATAATGCACATTAACAGTGAATTTGGAGAAGTCTCACTCTTTTCTCTTGTTCGTAGAATTCACAAACCCGTATGGAGTTCGATCTACATCTCCAAGCGGTTCCCAAGCTTCATCCGATAGGTTCTCTCAGTTTGGCACGGCACGCGATTACCACGATTTCGATATGCAGAATGACCTGTTCTGGCATGATGAGAAAGATGATGGAGACTTCATGACTCCTTGCTTTGAAGGGCCGGACTTCTTCGCCTGTCCCACGGAGGATAAGTTCATCATGACTTCAGATACAGACAAAGGGAACGAGAAAATGCTGGATCTGAATCATAAATCCGAAGCATTTCAACCGGAAATAAGCCTCGATTGCCTGGACAAGAGTTGTCTTACCAATGTTTCTCCGGTGGATGATACAAGCAAGGTTTATGCGACGAATTACAAGAAAAATCAGCTGGAAGAAGGCTTTGAAGAATATTGCGCAGAATGCTGCTATCCAAGTTTGAAGGAAACCGATTTCAGCAATTACCAATTAGATGTTTCGGGGGGCATCCTTCGTGTGGATGTTGATTCTGCTCCATATGACAATATAAGCAAGAGTTCTAATTACTCTGCTAAAAGGAGTTCCAAAAATGAACAGGATGAAAAGTTTAAAGTGTCCGCTGGTTTAGACGGTAAGGTTGCAGTGAAAGATTTCATGCAAAAGGGAGTTGAAGGATATGGAGTTGGAGTCGGTGAAGTAAACAAAGGATCCCACGAGCCTGAGGTTGCTGCCGATGGAGATGATGCTGCTCCCGATGAGGTTTTGATGTACAATGATGATGAGGATTATGAAGTTTTCGACTTGAGAATCATACACAGGAAGAACAGGTTTGTTTGGCACAGTCCGCTTTCTATGGTTTTGACAGAAGCATTCACCTTGGGAGGATTTTTTTGTATCTATGTTTTGATAAAGGATTGCGCTCATGTGCATGTTTATTGATAAGTAGCTATCAGTTTTACTCATCTGTTATGCCATTTACAGGACCGGATTTGAAGAAAGCAAGGATTTCCCAATTGTGCTAAAGACTGTAATAGCAAGCAGGTACTATATAACGGAATACCTTGGTTCGGCAGCCTTCAGTAAGGTTGTACAGGCTCATGATCTTCACACAGGAGTCGATGTGTGCCTCAAAATCATAAAGAATGATAAAGAGTTTTTCGACCAGAGTCTGGATGAGATTAAACTTCTAAAGTTTGTCAACAAAAATGACCCTGCAGATGAACACCATGTATTGCGACTTTATGACTACTTCTACCAGCAGGTATTTCCTTCTGATCTAATATAAGAATACTTCAAAGATTGTTTTGATGTTTGCTTTATTTAAGTGGGATGTGGTAGTTGTCCTATGATGACTATCTATCTCTTTTTCGGGATTGTTGATTGTAAATCTTACGATAGCATGCATTGTGCAAATTATTTAGTATGCTCAAATTTATTTTTGCAAAACAGGAGCATCTCTTCATCGTTTGTGAACTCCTTCGGGCAAACTTGTATGAATTTCAGAAGTTCACTCAAGAATCTGGTGGAGAAGCTTACTTCACATTAAGAAGGTTGCAGGTTCGTTTGTATTAACTCGTAAATGCTTGCCCTACTAGATTCCATAAACCTATTAACATGGATTATCTGCTGCTTTAAAAATTAATTATGAGTAAGACAGCTAACACGGAGCTTAATGGTGCCCTATTAACAGCTCATAACACGTCAGTGTTTAGAGGCATTGGACTACTTGCATCGCTTGGGAATTATTCACTGCGATCTAAAGCCTGAAAACATTCTTATAAAAAGTTACAGAAGATGTGAAATAAAGGTAATTGATCTTGGAAGCAGTTGCTTTCGCACGGACAACCTGTCTCTATATGTGCAATCTCGTTCTTATAGAGCTCCTGAAGTCATTCTTGGCCTCCCTTATGATGAGAAGATTGACATGTGGTCTCTGGGCTGTATATTGGCGGAGTTATGCTCCGGAGAAGTATGACCTCTCTTTTGCCTGGTTTTATTCATTATGTTCAGCTCTGTTTCATTAATTATGTTGAAATTTGTTTGCATTGTTACCGATTGGCTATTTTTTGGGTACCCCGCAAACTTCTTACACTGTTTTTGCCTCTCGTATGATGTTTTCTTTAGTTTCCCGTCAACTTGAAGGAGAAATTCCTCGGGTATAACGTTCATACATAAATACATTTGTGCTCATACTACTGTGTCTTGACCAGGTGCTCTTTCCAAATGACGGGGTTGTAATGATCCTTGCGCGTATGATTGGAATGCTTGGTCCTATCGATCTGGATATGTTAGTGAAAGGTCAGGAGACCGATAAGTACTTCACAAACGAGTTAGATCTTTACCACATAAATGAGGTGCGTACTCCAAATCTCTCTCTCTAAATGTGAGTTGCAGTAGGCTCTTTCTGGATAATACGCAAGGAAAATGTATCTTCCGATACATGAAGTGTAGTATTTAAGTGTTTCCGGTTTCTCTAATAGGAAATCATCAATTCTTTTCCTTTTTACGAGTCGATGAATAATTCATTCGGACTAAACACTTTGCCATCCCACATTCAGGAAACAAGCCAACTGGAATACATAATCCCGGAGGAGTCGTCCTTGGAGAATCACCTGCAAGTAACCGACATTGGGTTCATCGACTTTGTCAAAAGCCTGCTTGAAGTCAATCCCGAGAGACGCCCAACCGCGATGGAAGCACTGGAGCACCCATGGCTTTCCTACACATACGATGCAAGTCCCTTCTAAACTCATGGGGTACGTAGCAGTTCTCCTTGTGGGTTCATTTGTAAATTGAGTTTTGAAGAGCAATTTGTGAATTACGACCTGCATCCGGTGAACCTAGGACTGCGACGCCCTTCCGATTTCAGTTTTGGTTTCGTGTACATGGCCTTGTTTTGCATTGTCTGTCGTTTATTCTCTCGTTCTGATTTAACATATTCATACTTTTCTTGTACAAATTGATGTAATAAAATGTCCTGCATTAATATGGTGGTGATTTCTGATTCATTTGTTCTTATGAAATTCAAATTTTCGGATGCTGAAAATCTGTCTGTTAATGACGCCCGGTCCGCTTGTAACTTGTTGGTTTCATTGTGATCGTCGAGCCTTATGTTCGACTCTCAAAATGTCTATTAGAGCTGAGAGTCGCTTAATCGTGGTGTCGAATTATTACTTTATACATGTTAGACGCTCACACAAGAGAAATTCTTTGGTGCGATTAGTGATGCATTATAATATTTGGCATTTTGACTAAAATAATCTTTGAGATTGACATAACTCTTCATTTTAGTGATTTGAAATTAATGAAATGGTAATTGAATTCGTCCATCGTGAATCATTTTGGTCATGTGAATTTTTTGGTAAATAATAACCAAAATAACAAAAATATTGTCAATTTAATAAACTAACAAAAATTAAGGGTATCTTTGTCATCTTAATCCTTATTTAACATAGTTTTTTCACGGAATGATCAAAATGATTGATTGCGGGCAAACTCAATAACCACATCTATCGATTTTAAATACAAGGGATCAAAATAAAGATTTATACCAATCTCAAGTACAATTTAACTAAAAAAACCTAGTATTTATATCTATCCCATCACGTGTCTATTGAATTTACATTACAATCTCTTGGACCAACAAAATATTGTTCTTGTCAATTCCTCCCTTCTATGATAAGATAAAAGAAGTAAAAAATTTGGAAGCTGTCAAGTGACGTGTCATGTTTTAAGAGAGAAAGGTGGTCAAAGTCAGATTTGGATCCTCTACTGAGCTTAAGGAGAGGATTCTTCTGACCAACATATATGGGCCGTTGGATGAAAATTCAACGGCTATAATTATTATAATTTTAAAATGATCTCCTGTTTATAACTATTGAATTTTTATCCAACGGTCCATATATGTTGGTTAGGAGGATCCTCTCCGTTAGCTCAGGAGAGGATCCAAATCCGTCAAAGTCGATTGGTGAAAATTAAACAAAAGAAAAATACTTCGACTTGAAAAAGTAAATAACAATAATTTAATGAGTGAATTATCATTGATTCAGTGGTCTTAAAGAAGAAAAGATTGTCTCTTCTGATTGGCGGGATTTGGATTCACTTTCCTACTTTTCTCCGACGCCCACGCTCTCCTTTCCCGCGTGCACTACCTTACCCAACATGAAGTTCATAATACGACCACCATTTCAACTAAACAACGATACGAAATAATCAGGTTTGGGTTAGTCATATTTAACGGTTAATCAAACATTCGTATTTCGGTCAACTCTTCTAACCCAAAAATGACACGCTTTAACACATTTACGTAATTATGTAACTTGTCAACTTATATACAATGTATATACCACATAATACGAGAAAATTCATTTAAACTGAAAGTGAAAATGAAAAATTAAACACTCTTACTAGATATAAACATTATATTTTTGTTGAACTTTTTTGTACTTGTGAACATTAAACAAGCTTTTCTTTTCTTACGAACTTTTGTTTATAAATGTAAATTGGTATGGTTATACTTTGATTATTAAGAATAAGAAAAGTGTGAGAAGCTACAAATTGTGTATGAAAATTAGCTTTTATTTAATAATCGTGTCATATTCAAGTTAGAGAAAATAATTCATTTAATAATCGTGACTCTTTTTTGTACAACATTATACATTTACACTAGGAGGTGTGAAAAATAAATTTATATTAAAAGTGCCACCATCGAAATTTGAACTTGAAACCTCTCACTGAAAAAAAAAAAACTAAACTATAATACTAAATAGCATAATTGTGCTGTGTTGAAGGTCGGCGACAACCCTTCTTTCCGCTTTGCCTTGTTCTTTGTGTCTTGCACTAGCTTTCTCCCTACTTATATGCCGCCTCCTACCTCTTCCCGCCCGCCTCCCAACCGATTTTTCTCATTGTTGTTCTCATGATCGATGATACGGGATCGATTGTGGCTGACTGGGCACTGTACTCTGCAATTTTCGATCTCCTGTATACGTTCATGTCAATTAATTGGGTTTCGTCAGATTCCATATCGTGTACGTAGGTTTCTTAGGCTTGTTGCAGCGAGTCGGGATTCGGGGGGCTCTTCCTCTATTTTTCCCTCCCACTTGTCGCTCCTTAGTGCCTTTGTTTTTATCACATCTTCTTCGGCCTTGTTTCATGGAGGAATTACTTTCCTTGGTTCATTTTGTGTGAGTTTCGTCTTGGGTTCTATGGCGGATTCATTTTGCTTGCCCTGTGATAGATGCTGATCTAAATTGAGGCGGTTTTGGATGTGAAGTGGCCTTGCTCGAGGTATTGGGTCTCTGTTGGAGGTTGGGATCTTAGTTTATGGCGATTCGGCTGTCGGTTGTGTTGGGTTGCTATTTGGGGTTGCGTTTGGGTCGCTTTCTCGCTTTGTCGAGGAGAGATTTTATGTTTGTTTTGTCATTTGGTTTTGGTTTATTGTGTTTCTTTTGAGTCTTGACGGTTCTGAATCCGGTTCGGAAAGCTTAGGTTTGTAAGCTTATCTATCTTGTTAGTTAATCCTTTGTCGATGTTGGACTTGTAAGCTTGAAATTTGATTCTTGACCGTTGATGTTTGTCGGTCTGTTAATTTAAAAAATTAAGGCCATATCTAACCGAAGGCTGACCAGAGGGCTGGTTTTAGCCCTCTGACCTTCCAAGAAATTAACATTTTAATGAACACTACAGTGCCATATTTCTTAGACCACTCCAACCGAATGAGGGTCAGATGACTCGTTTTAGCCCTCTGGCCCTCCAAGATATTAATATTTTAATGAACAGTATAGGGCCATATTTACCTTTATCTCCAACCGAGGGCTATAAGGCTCATTTTAGCCCTATCACAAAAAATCGTCTCCAACCGAGGGCTAAAGGGCAAAACATAATTTATTATTTAAATTTAAAAGCTACAACAACTTAAATTTAAAAACTACAACTTATGTTTAAAAACTATAACTTAAATTTTAAAACTATAAATTAAATTTAAAAACTACAACAACTTAAATTTATAGGAAAAAATGAGAAATTTTTAATACTTTTTTACAAATTTAGGCCGATAAAAATTCAAATTCAAATCCAATGGCTAGTTGATGTCAGCATAACGTCAGCTATCCGTTGGTAGCTGACGTCATGCTAGCCGTTGGATTTGAATATATTTTTTGCTATAAATAGGATGGATATTAGGCTATAATTCACACACCTTCGAATTCAATCTATTTCATTTCAATCTATTTCAATTCAATTTCTTTCAATTCAAGTTTACAATGAACTCCAACTTTGGATCCTCTTCGAATTCCAACTGGGTGTCATCATCCAATTCCGAATTGGAAGAAAAATGGACATAGATGAGATGAAAAGATGAGAAGTCCGATGAAGAAGATGAAGCATTATGCAACACACAATATGTGGCAGCTATAGTTGCGGCCATGGTGTGTCAGCCAACTGAGAAACAACCTCAATGGTGTGGCTCTATTGCTGGTCGCTCTTACAAACCACGAAATAGAGCGATGACGCATGCCAATTTGATGAACAATTACTTCAACACCAACTCGGTGTACATAAAATAGGATTTCAGACTTCACTTTCGGACGAGGCGTCATGTCTTCGAGCATTTACTTCATGATATCCAACAGGTCAATCCATACTTTCGATAGAAGCAAGATAGAAAAGGCTGCCTTGGTTTCTCACCTCATCAGAATGTTATTATTGCACTACGAATGATGGCCTATGGCTCCCCAACTGATTTGATGGATGAAACCCATGGTATCTCTGAGTCTACATGCCTTGATACTCTTACTGGATTCTATAACACAATTGTTCAGCTTTACAAAGAGGAGTACCTCTACGAGCCAAATCAAGAAGATCTGGATCGGTTCCTTTGCAAAGCTGAAGACCGTGGGTTTCATGGCATGATAGGGTCATTAGACTGCATGCATTGGAATAGGAATAACTGTCCCACCGGATGGCAATGAGACTTTAGCGGAAGGTCGAGAGCCAACTATTGTGTTAGAGGCGGTTGCCTCGTATGACACATGGATCTGGCATGCTTTCTTTGAAGTCCCTAGATCCTAAAATGACATTACAGTTCTTGGGCGTTCACCCATCTTCAATAACTTGACGGAAGGTAAATCACCCCAACTTGACTACTACATTAACGACCGTCAGTACAATATGGGGTATTACTTGGCAGATGGTATCTACCCAAAATGGGCGATACTTGTCCAAGCAATTCCAAACCCTAAAAATGACACCGAAAAATGTTTTACCTTACACCAAGAGGCATACCAGAAATATGTTGAGAGAGCTTTTGGTGTTCTACAAGCACAGTGAAAGATCATCAAGGAACCGGCAAGAGGGTGGAGTCGAGAAAATTTGGACTCCATCATGATGTCTTGCATCATATTACACAACATGATTGTGCAGGATGAGCGAGATGGGTATATTGATGGAGAGTCTGATGACGACCAAGAGGATCTAAATAGGTCAAGAAGAGCTCGTGCAAAAATATATGATGGGCCTAATTTGCCTTTCAATTCAAGAACTGGTAGTATCTCTATAAATGAGTAATGAGGCGCTATAGGATGATACGTTCCCGTGTCACAAATAAGTACCTCCAATAGGATCTTGTTGCACATCTTTGGGCCAAAAGAAGCATGCAGTAGACGTTTAAGTTTTATGTTGTTAAATGTTTTTAAAAATGTTGTTTAAGTTTTATGTTGTATAATTTTTATGTTAGTTAATGTTATTTAATGTTGTTTCATGTTACTTAATTTAATTTAATGTTTTATAATGGCTTAGGAAGTTATAGGAAAAAAATAGAATTTAAAAAATATATGAAACAAATTTTGTAAATAAAAGTTATAGGAAAAAAAAACAGAATTTAAAAAAAATATGAAACAAATTTTGTAAAATAGAAGTTATAGGAAAAAAAATAGAATTTAGAAAAAATATGAAACAAATTTTGTAAAATAGAAGTTATAGGAAAAAAAATAGAATTTAGAAAAAATATGAAACAAAGTTTGTAAAATAGAAGTTATAGGAAAAAAAAATAGAATTTAAAGGAAAAAGATTTTGTAAAAAAATAAAAAATAAAAACTGTAAAAAATAAAAAATAACGGCTAGCCGAGGGCCAAACATAATTTATTATTTAAAAACTAGCATGGAGTAGGCGTTTAAGTTTTATGTTGTTAAATGTTTTTAAAAATGTTGTTTAAGTTTCATGTTGTTAAATGTTTTTTTTATGTTGTTTAATGTTATTTAATATTGTTTAATGTTGTTTCATGTTATTTAATGTTATGAAATGTTTAATGGTTTAGAAGTTATAGGAAAAAAAAAGAATTTTTACAATGTTTAAAGCATATTTTGTAAAAAATATATATTCTTTAAATAACGGCTAGCTGACGTCAGCAACTAGTCGTTACAAATTTGAATTGGAGCTCGGCCCGGGGCCGGCTGGCTAGTTAGTTTGGGCGGCTCGGTAGGCTCTATAACCCTTTTTTGTTAAGTGGGGCCCACGAGCCATCTGACCTGGCCCTTGGTTGAAGATCATTTTTGGACTACTTTCGGCCCTTTAACCCTCTGAACCATTCGGTTGGAGATGTCCTAACTCTAGTTGTCTTCGTGTCGAAACGGGGTTGACACTAACCCGACCCTTTACCACTCCGGGCATTCACCACCACCAAAACTCTCTCAGTCTCGCCTTTGAAGCGCGTCGACTTCTCCATCCCTTCCCTCCTCCATCTTCGTCCAAAGCAGCATCGCCGAGGAAACAGAGGAAGAGAGAGAGAGAGAGAGAGAGAGTTTTATTGCAAAAGGGCCAATCAATCAGCTTCTTCTCTTCTGAGTCTGACAACCGAGATAATGGCCGAGTTGACCCAGGGCGAGGTGGTCTACTCGCCCAAGACTCTTCAAGTCTGGCGAGCTCTGCTCAACTGGCTCGCCTTCTTCTCCCAGATCTTCCTCCA